TTACCTTTAATGAACATAAATTGTCTTTTGCATCTCCACCCCTAAACTGAATAGCCACGGTAATATGCAATAAAATATTAGTACTTGTTATTTTATAAAAAAAAAAAAATTATTTTATTTTAAATTTCGGATATGATTTTAATCGGTCTCATTGTCCCACATTTCATTAAATAAGAAATTACAACCCAAAGTATTTGAGAAAATATAAAATTGTGGTATAAGGAGGAAGATAATGATAAGATATTTATAGAAAAATTAAATCTTTTTTTTTAATTTTTTAATTTTTTTAGGATTTTTTATTAATTGTTTACATTTTAAAAAAAAAATTTATTAATTTTTTTACGTGGTTGACGTCAACCATGCATCACACAGGCCTCAGGCTCTCAGGCCATTAATTCGAGCTGAGCCTCTCACTTGGGCCCCCCCCTTAGTCCAATTGCCCGCATGGGTTGGAGCAGGGAGAGGGAGGCAATTGGATGAAATCATTGCCATTCCATCGGGCTATCCACACCGGTGGAGCTACTCTAAGTACATTTTATTTGAATTATAGGTAGACTGTTCAAAAGTTTTTCTATCGAGGAAAATATATCAACATAAAATATAAAAAATGTATCAGTTAATAACAGTGAGAAGCCAAATTAAACCGTCGTTTAGATGTACAATGCATTTGTTTTCTTTTTAAGAAATATATGTCACGAGGTTTGTAGTTCAGTTGTTTAGTATCCACCTTTGTTTAACAAGGTTTTGGGTATAAGCAACTTTCTGGTGTGTCTAAAACACGATTATGTGGTGTTATCATGTCAAATTATAACATGTGTATTTGATTTTATTAATATCTTTAAAAGTGAAATATATTAATTACATCGTTTGCTCTTACTATAATACGTGAAATAACATAACACATAACTTGTGTTCATGTTACTCTTAAATTTATTTTTTCCCGGATTCTCAATCTTCAATTTTGCTTATATCCATACAGCTTCGAGGAACTTTCGGGTCCCAAGAAAATCTACATTAAGAGTTAAAAGTTGAAAACATCTAGACTCAAGATTTCTTTTGTCACGTTGAATATTCTTCTTCTCCCTTCGTCCGAGCTAGTGGACAACTTTGCCACTTTTGGTAACACAGAGGAAATGCTCAATTGATGTTGACAAATCACCAACACAAGATGATTAAAACATAAAAATAAAAAGATAAAAATATACAAGATTACTCTCTTAATTTTAAATTAATAGCTCTAAATGTTAATGAGTTCTTTCGTGAATTTATTAGGGATATTTTGGTGCAGTCAAAACATTCAGCTGCTTTCGAATTGAGTGCAATTTCAATTTCATTTGATTTTTTGTTACGTCAGTTTTGGTCTTGAAAATAAAATATATTTAAAATCCTTACATTTAAATCTTTAAATGCCTTTATCTACAATAAATCTTACAGAATATTTTTTTTTTTTTTTAAAAACTCGTTTACAACAAATCTTGTAAGTTCATCAAAACTTAAAAAGAAACATTGTTTGAGGTAGATAAAAAAAAGTGTATTGTAGTTAGATATTATAATTAATCTACGATAGAGGTAGATTATAAAAGAAATGTGATATAATAGATAAATAATTTGTGTTACTGGTAGATTATGAACAAAAACCTATCATATAGATCTATACATGAGAGATGGATTATAAAAAAAAAAAGAAGGGAAAACTTGATATAAGTCCATTTTTTTTAGCAAATAGTAGGAATAGTCCAATTTATTATAAATAAGTCCAATTCCTTAAATTTAATTATTTAATTATTTAATTATCAATAATTATCTATTCAACGATAAAATTTATTTTAAAAATCAAATTTCTTCCTAATTATCTCTTTGATTATTTCTTTTATTTTTTTGTTATTTTAGGTCCTCCTACTTTAAACCCTATTTATAGATTTTATTTTTAATTTTTATAATCAACCTATATTACAGGTTAATTATTTTTATGTATATATATGACATATTCTTTTTTATAATCAATGTGTCACAAATTAATGTGTCTTGTTTGTAGGTATATTATGTTCTTTCCTACCTTTTAGTTAGATTTCATATCTCACTCACATGTATTGTAACATCCCACATCGCCTAGGGGAATGGATTCTCTAAGCCTTATATGCATATTCACATCTCTACCTAGTACGAGGCCTTTTGGGAGCTCACTGGCTTCGGGTCCCATCGGAACTCTGAAGTTAAGCGAGTTCTCACGAGAGCAATCCCGTGATGGGTGGCCAACTGGGAATTTTTTGTGTGAGTTCCCAGAAACAAAACCGGGAGGGCATGGTCAGGTGCCAAAGCGGACAATTTTGTATTAGAGCCAATCTCTGGCTGAAAATGTGCCGACGAGGACGTCGGGCCCCTAAGGGGATGGATTGTAACATCCCACATCGCCCAAGGGAGTGGATCCTCTAAGCCTTATATGTATATTCCCATCTCTACCTAGCATGAGGCCTTTTGGGAGCTCACTGGCTTCGGGTCCCATTGGAACTCCGAAGTTAAGCGAGTTCTCACTAGAGCAATCCCATGATGGGCGACCCATTAGGAAGTTCTCGTGTGAGTTTCCAAAAACAAAATTGTGAGGGGGTGGTCGGGGCCCAAAGCGGACAATATCGTGTTATGGTGGAGTCGGGCTAAGATGTGATGGGGCCCGGGCTGGGATGTGACATATATAATATATATTCATATATTTGTTACTTGGGTTAAGGTAGAATGTTTTGTAGATAATATATGTTAGTATATTAGTTTTTTTTTTTTTTGTTGTTGTAAGATATTAATTAGATTTTTTGGAGTTGAAAAATGCATAATATTAGAAGATTTTAATTGATTTATAATATTTTTAAAAATATAAAATAAGTATAAAAAAAATAAAAACATGTAATTAGATAACTGGACTCACTCCTAAAAATCATCTATGTTTTTGGACCTAGATCTAAAAGCCCCTAAAAAAATGGTGATACGTAGGCAATAATATGTAATAGAGGTAGAATAAAAAAAGATAATGGTAAATTAATAACAAAAAAAAATTGTGGAAAGGTAGATTAAACCTGTGATGGAGGTAGAATATACAAAAATTAACTACTTCGAATAAAAATATTTTCCCCTGCACTTATCAAATGATAGTAATCAACATATAGCAATGTATAAAAGAAGAACGACCATCAAAATTAACACAACAAAAACAAAGAAGAAAATTATCGGCCTTCTTCTTAACCGAGTGGATAAGTGTGCAAGCGTTATTCCTCTCGGCTTCATCGGAATTAGCCGACATGTGGTTTCGTTCTCGGAGTAGTTTGGTTTAGCTAATTTTAATTTAGTTTAGTTCTGCCGTCTCGCCTAGCGAGGTATTGTGTGGTTGGATATGGTTTTCGCATTTGAGTGATGTGTGATTTGATGTCGTCTACCTTCAATGGCTTTATGTGGTCTCATTTTCACGGTGATTTTATGCGGCTCGCAATTCGGCGGTGATCTTTTGTAATTGCTGATACAAGTCTGTTATACTTACTGTTGTCTTGTTTGAGCAAATTCACCTTAGACTATTTTCTTGGTCAATGTAATATTATACCCACGTGACACCTATGTATTGTTTCAGATGATTAATAAAATACCAACCTATCGTTGCTTGTAAAAAAAATAAAAAAATCTCATCTTCCCAACCGATGAACTCAAACAATCTCTCTCTTCTTCTCTGCCATTTCAATACGACATCTTCTCTATATTTATTTATAGATTCTTGAAGAAATAAGGAATTTGAAATTTTGAACTTGCTTCTTGCTGGAGAATGTTGCATAAATTTTAAATTTTAATTTTCTATGAGAATCTCTGCAAAAAGTTGGTCCTCTTATGGCTGCCAATGGCCATTCAATCCATGGTTACCGACTGGAGTTTTTACGATTGTTGCCTCTGAGTCCATTGGACAGGAGAGACGAGACATGTAGAGAAGAAGAAGAAGAAGAAGGAGAGAGAGAGAGGGAGAGAGAGAGAGAGATTGTTTGAGTTCATCATTCATCGTGTTAGGGTTAAAGAGAGGTTAGAAAAGAGAGAACAATTTCAACATCTTTACTTTTATTTGAGTGGACCAAAATAAGAATGTTAATTGCCGGATAAAAATGACACGCGTTCAACAAGACTTATTTTTTAGGCGAGTCCGTCTAACATCTCTTTTTAGTGAAACACAATTCATACACAACAAAAGTACATTAAACTTGTGCATGTAAGATTAGTGTAATATTGTAGTGTTGCATGCATATATCACATATTTGTAAAAGTAAATTATGTTTCATATATGACTTTTATTTGCAACTTTTCTATTATTATGTGTCACTAAAGTACTACAATCACATAAAAGACCAAATACTCATATACATTCATATTTTGTTTTGTTTGCAATGTTTATTTCTTTGAACAACGATTTAGAAAAAAAAACAATGAGTTCAAATTCGAGTCACTAAAGAACTACAAACATTAAGACAATAGTTTTTATTTATTTTTCGTTTGACTAAAGGACGGTAAATTGAGTAAAAAAGCAATGCTTCCGATCTTCTTTATATTTAGAAATCCTGTCTGGACCAAGAATCGTAATTAGTTGCTATAAATAATTCATACACAAATTACATAATTACATAAAGGAATATTCAAATTTCAGCGTAAACAGAGAACCAATGCTTTAAGCTAATTCGACCAAATTCATATACCAACTACAAAACAAGGTTAACAAAAAGAGAAAAACAAACAATAACATAATTCAATGGAAAGAACGAATAATAAAAAAATTAAAATTAAAAGAAAAGATTTTTAAAGGAAAAAGAAAAAAAGGATCAATGGATGGGTGCCACGTATGTGAGAGAGAGAACGAAAGGGGAAGGAGAAGGGAACCGTGCGTGAAGAGCAAAGTGGTTGATGGATTTTTTAATTTTTTATTATCAAATAATGGTTTCTCGAAGACGGAGTATGTTTTGTCTGTATATATATCCCTCTCCCCTCCCTCTTTCCTCCTCAACTTGCACCTTCCCATTCCCTTCATCCTCCTCGCTCTCCAATCTCCATATTCCAAGACCCATTACCCGCAGCGCTCTCTCTCCTCTCTCTCTGTTTGTCCATTGACGCTCTGCTTCCAAAGCTCACAGAGAAAAGAAAACCCACCAAAACCCACCTCTCACATCTTGCTGGTATGCACTCAACTTCCCTCTATCTGTTCCTTGTTTTGTTTGTGGGGCTTCCTTCTCTTTGAATGGTTTTTCCTATTGGGTTGTTGTGTTTTTGGATTCTCGAGCTGATTAATCGTCCAGGGATTTCAGCTCAAGGATCAAAAGGGATTCTGGCCTCTTCTTTTTTGCTTTGGGTTTTGGTTGATTATATGTAAAGCAGGATTCTGGAACTCTATTACATGTACAAGAACAGCAAAAAGTGACACAACTTGCATACAACATTAGTTACTTTGATCTGTCGTGTTTTAGGCTGCCTAGTTCACCTGTTTTCTCAAACAAGATTGTCTCTACTAGTCAACCTTAAGCATTGAAAACATAGTTATTGCTGGCCTTTCTGTTCGTCTTCGATTACGATCTGGTTTCTGAACGTTTCTGCTCTATGAACATGGAAAATATTCATTAAATATTGAGAGATAAATTAAAATGTTTTTTGTTGTTTAAATATTGAATAAATATTTGAGAGAGAATTTAAAATGTTTTTGTTGTTTAAGCCCTTCTAGAAGGGCTGCTGATAATTGATAAATATACTCGATCTGATCTTACTGTTTGGTTTAACTTTTCTGCACTAATTTGATTATTTATATATTGGTGGTGTTACTTTTGTTTCAACTTTTCCCTTTTTTTTTTTTTTTTTCAAACTTTTGGTCCAATGGTTTTTAATCGCGTAAATTTTGATGCTTTCTTGTTGTCGTCTCGTTGCCATGATTGATGCTTTGAAGTCTTGTTGATTGCATTTAGGCATCTTTCTCTAGCCTTTCGCATGGACGGCTTTGAACTTTCGTTAGAAGCTGATTTTTAGACCATGTTTCTAACGTTCTTTGTTTTTCCATGTCTCAGATTTACGCAGCTCCCAAATACTAGTTTCTCGATCGGTTAAGATGGCTACAGAGCAGCTTTTTCCAGTGGTTGTGGCTCAAGATAACTCCATTGGACAAGATAAATGTTCCTTTGAAAAATGGAATACCGTATCTGATGGAGTCGCGGACTCCGACAACAAATCCTGTGGCACCTTCGACTGCAGCATCTGCTTAGACTCTGTGCAGGATCCTGTGGTCACCCTCTGCGGTCACCTCTACTGCTGGCCTTGCATATACAAGTGGCTTCAGTTCCAAAGCCCGTCTTCCGAAAACCAAGATGAGCAGAAACAGCCCCAGTGCCCTGTATGCAAAGCTGAAGTCTCCGAGTCCTCTCTAGTCCCACTCTACGGCCGGGGACAAACAACCAAACCCCAAAAGCCCTCGAAAGGCAAGGCTCCTCATCTTGGTATAGTGATTCCGCGAAGACCCTTTCGTCCTTGTGGGGCTGACACACCGCGATCAGCCCGTACACCCACCAGTCAATACGTTACTCCGCAACTTCATCATCGGAGTTCTCCTTACGGTTCACAACTAAACAGTCCCCTACAAGACCCAATGAATAGTCCTGGCGTCGCCACAACCGCGATCAATCCAGGAGCTGACATGTTTGGTGAAATGGTATATGCAAGGGTTTTTGGCAACTCGTTAACAAACTTGTATACCAATTCGAATTCGTATAATCTGGCGGGGAGCGGTAGTCCGAGGGTTAGAAGGCATGTAATGCAGGCTGATAAGTCGCTCAGCAGAATATGTTTTTTTCTCTTCTGTTGCTTTGTGCTGTGCCTTGTTTTGTTCTGAACAAATTTTTACCTCCCTTGCCCGATTGTACCCCTGTAAAAATGAGTAGAAAGATTATATGAAAGACGTGCGGATTCAACCAGATGAGTGTGTTGCTAATTTTACGTCAATGGTTGAAATAGTTTCTATCTTCTTCTTTTTTTCTCTCGTCGCACGTTTAGGAGAAACCAGATAGCTCCGGAGTTCCGGGTGTATACGTCTGGTTACAAGGCAGATTCTCTACCAACATACACACTACAATATAGATGTTTAATTTGGAATGATTAGATTGCAGTTTTGGTTGGTTTTGTTGTTGTGATGAATGTGGGAAGCTAATTCTTGCTTGATTGGGATTAGCTTCCGGGGAAAGAACGAGTTCCGGACAGAGATGCTGCAATTCTGCCAGGCCTAAAGGGCCAAGGCACGAAAAAGACGGAATATCCAACAAAAATTAACATTTAATTTAACAAATTTATTGTTCCACAAAAAAAAACTTAAAAGAAAAGAAAAGAAGACAGAATATTATGTAGAAAAACTAGAGAAACAGAATAACTAACATAGATATTATTGATCAATAATTCATCAACAATATCATAACTAATAGTAAATATCATTCAAACTTGAAAAGAAGCATTCTAGCCAAGTTTTAACTTAAGCTTGGGAGATTTCTATTGGTGAAAACTACGTGTTCTGATATCCGACTCGAACTTCATTTCTTAACAATTTTTTTGCACACTTCATTCCTTAACTATTTCTACTGAAACACATACATTATCGATAATATTTGATCACGAATAGTGTGGATTCATTACCTTAAGCACACGCTGCTGTATATGAAGACTATGGATCCGCACATTGACTTAAGTTAAGATGTGGTCCATCCAAATTACATAATTCTTGAGATGGTTAGATTTTCTTAGATTAGCTAGTTTATTACCATAATTATGCTTCTTCAAAGGTAGTGATGGAATTGAGTATTTAGATTGACCTTATAATTTCAATCTATAATAATTTGTGGTGCTTTGGAATATAAAAATACTTTAGTTTTTTTAACTATTAAATCTTGATTTTCATGAATCAAAATAATAATAATAATAATAATGCTTAAAAATTCAAAATATCTGATACTCAGAAGGATAATAGAAAATCCTCTAACTCTAATCATTATCCTTATCAAACTATCCGACGAGGCAGGTCCTCCTCTTTCCTACCACCTCTTTTCAAGTTTTCAAGTAACACATAGGCCCACCCATTTGCAACACAACCTAAAGCAAAACATACACTCGTGGTGGACCTTGTAGGGTAGGCACCTAAACATCAAAGGTGTTACCAAGAAATTATTTTGGAAGTTTAGTATATCACGTAACATACTGACCTAAAGCAAAACATACACTCGTGGTGGACCATGTAGGGTAGGCACCTAAACATCAAAGGTGTTACCAAGAAATTATTTTGGAAGTTTAGTATATCACGTAACATACTGATATGGTTCATAAGTTTATCAAAATTATAATATGTGTACAAACCAAATTCTCAAATGAAAAATTACAGTTACATCACGTGGTGAATCAGATACATACAAGAATTCTTCCGAGGGATAACCAGATGGCAGAGAACCCTATAGGAAAAGTAGTCGACTCGTTTTGAAAGCCTTCGGCGACTTTGGGTAAATGACAAGTCTACGCTTGGATGGTGCCAAAACCAAAAGGGCCACCACCACTTAGGTTGTGGGCAAAGGATATCACGGATAAGCACTCACTACATGGCCAGTAATATGACAACCAAAATATTAAAAGACATCTGGATCTAATTACATGGGATACTTTTGTGCTCTACAAAAACAAAAAACATAAAAGAGTTTTCTACCAGTGTATATCGAGAAGCCATGGCCCAGCGACATGCTTGGCCCCATGAATCCGGCTGTTATTGAAGAAAACAGGCGAAACTCACAGAAGAAGACAACAGGCAGATGGGGTCGTGAGACCAGCATGCACTGGATCACCATTGTGAACACGGAATTCTGAAAGACATGTCACCTAACAAACTTTTTTAACATCATCAGTGCTTGCATATTACTGTAGAATTATTAGAGAGACTGGTCAAAAAGCCCACTTCCAGCAACACCGATATTGTCCTTAACTTGTTAATTACCACCTGCACAATCCATCAAGTACATCAATATTGTCCACAACTTGTTAATTACCACATGCACAATCCGTCAGGTGTGATGTTTTATCACAAAGGCCTCGGCGTTAGTTAGAGTGATGTTAGGATATTTAAACTCTTCTTTTCTCAGAGATACGGTTGATGTGGAATATTTCAACAATTACTAGGTATGTGATTTTATTACAAAAGACCTCATTGATTCTAGATGCAAATTTTCCACATATAACTTGTAAGTTGTTTGTTATATCTCCGGTGTGTGGTTATATTCTCCAATACAAGACTATTGCTAATGCATCAATCACATTATTAGTGATATTTTGTTTTTGTTTCTTGTTTCCGGATGAACAGAATCAAAACCAATTGTGACAATGTGGCATATGAATCGTTATTTCAATCCCACTGGGGATAATAGAATTTGAGATTTATGAACAGTTGTTGCATGGTCACCTCAACCAAATTCCAACATAATCTCTAATATAATTGCAGGTCTAGCTTTGAAGGACAATGATTTCGATTCCTAGCAAATGCAAGGACTTCACGTCAATGCAAGTTGGTGAGAGGATTAAATCATCCGTTCATCACTTCATTCTTTCCGCAACATGATATTCGCACACTCGTTTTTATTTTAGGAACTTTAACAAAAAGTTTCCAGTATTGTTTATTTTAACGAAAAACCACATTTTTACACTAAAAAGTCAATCATAGTACTATTCACTTTACCCTTTATTTTGTCTTTATCATTAAAACTCAAAGTTTTCAAGTCATTTTCATTAGTTTTCCTTTTTATTCGATTGTCGGATTGAATAAATTGATAAACATCAAAGGGCATAAGTTAATAGGGGTATGTGAATAGCACCACCATTTTTATTTGACTAATATACGACATCATTTCTAAGAGTCTTAAGTAAAAATTAGCGATGCAAAAAACCCTCAATAATTTTGAAAATGTGTCGACAATATATTGATATTCTTATCCATGACTATATTATTTAAACATAACAATTAGATATTGACCATTAGAAACATTTATTTTAGAAATAAAGAGTCTTAAGTAAAAATTAGCAATGCAAAAAATCCTCAATAATTTTGAAAATGTGTTGACAACATATTGATATTCTTATCCATGACTATATTATTTAAACATAATGATTAGATATCGACCATTAGAAACATTTATTTTAGAAACGTATGAGGGTTGTATAGCTGGAGTAAAGAAGTTGGAAGTATTTTGCAAAAGGAGATTGTGACAACAATTTTGAGTCTAGTGGGGTTTTTGGACCGTTTGATGTGCATTTGGAATCTATGGCAGTTTATGTTGTCATTTTCTCGTTCCCTCATTTGTGTTCGTTGGTTTTCTAAATGCTATAGCAGCCTAGAGTTTTTTTAATACGTCGATAACCTTGATTTTTTTCTTTCAAAAAAGTAAAAATTTATACTAAATAGAGAGCACTTTACATGTACAGATAGATTACCATGTAGCGTCTCGTACCAATAAGAACATGGGAATAAAAAATTCACACATTTTTATTTCATTGCAAGACCTTACCGTAACAGTGTACTCATGTCATATAAATTTTTATCCACACAATAATCCAACTTTAATAAATTAGTATCAAATTTGTTATAAATAAAATTCGAATACAAAATCTCTCTTATAAATAAAAATAAATACCACTAAATTTGAGAAAATGACTGCTTTGAGTGAGTACTTTGATTAAACGATGATTAGCCAACGTAGTCCAACACTGATTTCGTCAAATGTCAAAAAATCACATCAACCTTATTGACTTGCTACCCAAATTGCAGACTTTGATCTCCATGCAATAATGCCACTGGCCCTGCTCCCCATTATTTCTGAAAGAATTTTACATAATTTCTTATCCCTGTTTTCCTCATCTTTTGTGGGCCCCGGTTGTGTCAATTAAATGAAAACTTACGCCATATGATGTCATTGTAACGGTGTCCTAAATCAATAAACGCGATTTCATGTGAACAAGTTAAAGTACACGGCATCGTGCAATAGGCTTAGGACATCGTCATCCCGGCCTACCAGCTTTATATTAGGCACAGATTTATCTGCATCATTCGATATCCTTAGTGACAAACACCTCGTATCATTCAGTATTTGCATTCTCTGAATCATTAAATTAAACGCTATTGTGATTTATCCGAATGCGATTCTAACTTCTGTAAGTTTTAATTACACAGCATGCATAAGATTATATGTTATAAGAACCAATTACGGACAATAGGCAATATATGTTATAAGAACCGATAACGAACAATAGGCAATGACGAAAAGAACAACCCACACTTCATTTCCTCTTTCGCTTTGTTCTTGATGTCAGCTTATTTTAAATTTTTGTGGTTAAATGAAAATCTGTACAAACGTACTCAATCCACCTGAAATACAACGATGACACGAAAGAGAACAAACCTTCCTTTAGTTCTGCTGAAAAAGAAATATGGCGTGGACGTTATAGAACCAAACACCCTCTACAGAATGAAAACTGGTGCTATTATCAACCCCTCTGCAATAGTAGATTTCATCAAATCCTCCCAGATGACTATCCTTTTTCAATTTATCAATGCCATAACCTTAGATTCATCATATGTGTAATCTTCAACCTTATCATACAAATCGGTTGAAAGATGATCACTCCCTGTCAACAATCTCAAAAGTTCTTGTGATACTTCCCCATCTCTTCTATGAAGTTCACCAATAACATACTTATCTAATTTATCACACAAATCAGCTGAAAAATGATCTGTTTCTCTAATTAATCTCGAAAGCTCTTGTGCTACTTCCACGTCTCCCTTCTCTTTCAAGTATTCAAGACACGCAGCCAAAGTTAGATGATTGAACTTCCATCCTGCTCGACTTGCTAATATTGCTTTTTTCATTGTTTCCACTGCCTTATCCATCTGACCATTCATATGATATCCGGTTGCCA